TATAATAATAGAATTGTTTTCTAAGTTCTTTTTATTTTATTTTTTTGTTCATTCATTATTAATTTATCAATTCTTCATGTATTTATATCTCAAAACACTTTCTTTAAACACCATTTAACTTTTATCAAAAACAACTGAGAATTAGAAATTCAATTAAACAAAACATTTAAACATTAATAATGAGTATAGAAGGATTGAAACAAATTAAATTACTTTTAATTGGAGAAATAGGTGATGGTAAAAGTTCATTAGGTAATTTTGTTCTTAAAAATGATGTTTTTAAAGTAAGTGATACTCCAAATTCAGTTACAAAATATGCTATTGGATACTTTGGAGAAGGTGATAGAAATGATGTATTTGTTGTTGATACTCCTTGTCTTATTGATGGTAGTGGATTTGATAATAAAAATATTCAAAGTATTTTCAATTGTGTTAAAGCTACAGGATTACAAGGAATTGTATTAACAATGAATTTTAACAAATTTAGATTGTCTCATAATCTTAAATATATTGTTAAATTTATATCTGATATTTTCCCATTAAAAGACATTTGGAAACATGTATGTATTGTATGGACTAAATGTTATAACTGTTATTCACAAAAGAAAATTGAAAACTATAAAATTGAGAAAGAGAGATTCAAAGAAGAAATGATTGAATTTATGAAACAACAAATAAAATAAATGAAAATATTGATATTCCAATGTATTATGTAGATTCACAACCAGATGAAGATAATGATAATACAAGATCAGAAGAAGAAATAGTAAAATTAATCAAATAGGCAAGACGATTAAAACCAATTGATGAAAAAGAAATCAGTAAATTAAGTGGTGAATTTAAAGAAATTATTTATGAAGAAAAAGAAGAACGTGAAAAAATAGAAGAAACAAAATATAATATAACATATAAAATAACAAAATATAGAAGATGTAAGAAAGTAAAGTATAATGGAGAAGTTATTTATGGTGAAAGTACTGAATTTAACAGTAGAATTATAACAGAAAACAAATCAAAGAAAGAATCATCAGACTGTGTAATGATGTAATTGAGAAAATGATAACACGAATTCAGTATTTAGTTAATTGAAATAAAATAGAAAAATCAAATGAATTAAATTTCATTATGGTTAATTTAAATAAAAAACAAAGAAATGGATAATAAGAAATAAAATAAACAGAATAAAAGAAAGAATAAAATTCAAAAGAATAAAGAAGAATGAATAAATAAAGAAGTAAAATAAAGAATATAATGAAATAAACAAAAAATATAAACAATGATAAAGAATATGAATAAATAAAAGAATATGATTAAATTAATTTAATATAAAATTAAATTAAAAATGAAATAAATATAATTTATTATTTTATTAAATTATTGATATTTTATGATGAATATCATAAATACATTATTAAATTATTCATAAATACATTTATTAGTTAAATGTTTATCCTTTTGTTTATTACATTAACGTTTTCTAAATCTTATGACTGTGGAACAGATGTCGATTGCACAATGAATGGCGTAACATTAATTGTAAGTGGAAGTGGGAAAATGAACGATCAATTATATATTTGTGAAAAGGATGGGTTCGAAAATATAGAAGAGATTATAACAGAAGAAGGGGTTACATACATTGGAGAGGATTCATTTTCAAACTGTAAATTCTTAACAAAAATGCTATTTCCACTTCAGTTACATCCATTGGTAATTCTGCATTTTATTCATGTACGTCATTATCATCTATTGATATTAGCAACAACATCATTTCTATTGGTGACTATGCATTTGAATCCTGTACATCTTTAACAAAAGTTAATATTGGAAATAGTGTTTCAACAATTGGTGAATATGCTTTTTATAATTGTATGTCATTAACATCAATAGATGTGGACACATCAAATCCATCATATTCATCTCTTGATGTGGTATTATATAATAAAGACAAGACATTATTAATTCAATACCCCATTGGAAATTCAAGAACATCATATTCTATCCCTCCTTCTGTTACAGTAATTGGTGAAAGTGCATTTTCACATTGTATATCATTAACTTCGATAAACATTCCAGATTCTGTTATTGAAATTGATGATTTTGCATTTGAATCATGCATAACATTAACATGTGTATCATATGAAGGAACAAAAGAAATAACAAATATAGGGAAAGAAATATTTGGATTTTCAAGTATAAATTCAATACATGTACCAGACAATTATGAAAAGGACACATTTGCAAATTATAAAATAATAAAAGATAATAAGATATGTGATAAAGATAACACAGATGGAGC